GTGAGTTTAAGTGTGGCCGGTTTAAAGAAAAAGTGCGATAGAGATTGGAAATTGGTGTTGGTAATGTCAAAATTCTGATTTATAAATGTTATTATTACATGTGTGAATCTTAATCCAAATGACCTGAAATTTTGCATGATGCATTTTTAAATGATACTTGAAGTAATAATGTAAATTTCGAATACAAATGAATATAATATCCAGTGCGAAATGTATTAAATGCCGAAAGTACAATTTTTAAGATTCGAGATCAATATGTGTGAAAAAGAGCCCCTGGTCAATGTGTTTGATCTACTTAATCCTAATTGTGATTAATATGAGTGATTTTAGAGATTTAGGGAAAAAAATATGATCCCTAAATCTAATGTGCCAGTGTGTGCGTAGACAGTGCGGTAATCGGGGTTACTGGGGCATTTTGGGTTGAATCATCTTGCATGCATTAGTGCATAAATAATTATTAAATATGATAAACATATTGATATTGTAATTACAAATGTGTTAGGTGGAATAGGGAGGACAGTCGGTGTTGAGACAAATATGGAAACACCGAAGGGATCCACCGGTAGGTCCGAAGGCCTGTAATTTGTACACTTGAGGTGGATATATATCTTTATATGTTTTGAAATAATAATTTTTCTCAAAAATTATGTGCTATATACTTATGTGATTGAATGATGCTTTGTACTATGTATTGTGTATTGTGGAATATGACGCACTGTTTGAGGCAGGAGCGTCGATGCCTGATCACTGGGAGTCTAGTGGTATGCTAGCACTGCGATGTTCTTGAGAGGTTCAAGAGCCACAGATCCACGTGGGATCGACTACCCAATGAGGGGTAGTATGGATGTGACATGACTTGTAAATTCTTTAGAATTGGATTGATGTTGTTGTTTGATATGTGTATTTATGTAGTATGTACCTGCTCCTGTGTATTATTATCATTTTCATTTCATATACAACATGTATACTCACTAAGCGCGTAGTTTAGCTCACATCTCTATAGGTTCTCTTTTTCAAGTAATATATAGGGAACTGCAGATCAGTCCACTGTTCAATCGGTTAAGTACTGTCTAGTGAAATTCAGTTCAGTCTAGAGTGGTCCAGTGAAGTTAATGTGATATTACTAAGGTTGTATGTCTGTTAATTATGTATTTAGTTTTAATGAGTTGAGTGATACAGGTTGTCTATATAATTATTTGTTGGGTTATATATTAGATTGAGTAAGAGATTGTATAACAGGTTAATAGTATATATTTGTAAACAGATTCAACAAACATACTTTGTGATATATGCTATGTGAGTGTGGGATTTGGTATATGCCTATAACTTGGGAAACAAACAATTAATACATGTGTTATATATAGTACAGGTTGTGAGATATGTTTTACCATAATGTTTAATGACTAAGGTAATGAGTGATGTTGTTGTACCTGTGAGATTTTTTAATATTTTATTAGTCCAGATTATATATATATGTAAACAAGTGTATCAAAAATCTAGTCGCGTCTCATCTTTGGGAGACTGGGATATGACGTGACAGTAGAGCACAATGTGTGTCCTTTCATGTAGAGAGAACTTATAATTTATAGGCACAGGGCCTTGGTTAAGGCGGTGATTTAAGGGCAAAGATATTAATTCTCCGGGTGTGTACAAAAGGTAATTGTTATAAAATGTTGTCTTGATCTTCGAGAGAGAGTATCCCGGTAATTGCTCTCCATGTGTTCTAATTCTTCGTGGACTCCTTAGAATTTGGGCTGGGCCGAATTCGCGAACTAGGCTTGGCTTACTTTTTAGTTGACTTGTGCTTGTTGGATTTATTGAGCCTAGCCTGATAAGATTCGGGCTCATCATACACTACATATTTATATTTAATACATAAGAGACTAAATTGATCCAATTGAAATATTGGAGACCAAAATAAGACAAATTCTATATTTTAGAGACCTCCAGTACAATTAACCCTAGATTTTTTAAGCATTTCTTGAGTAGTTCTAATTACTATGACCCTAGTTCTAATTACACCAAATATTTGCTATAATTCTTTTCTTAATATCAATTAGGATAGACAAATAAGTAAACGACTAATAATTTTCGGCTTTGTGGAAACATTATAGTCATATCCAGATAAATAGAAGGCATATTAGAGTCATTTTGTTATATTTAAAAGGATTATAGGATTATTTTGTTATTAAATGAATTTTTTTAAAAAAAGTAGTCATAATTTGAATTAACAAAATCAACTATAAAGCTTGTGATGACACAAATTGGTGATAAATGAATAATTGGTAGTTAGCATGATTGTTTAAATAGAGAAAGAAATTTTCAAAAAAGCAATAAAAAATTCTTATGCAATAAATTTTTTTTGAAGTATGAAAAATATGTGAAATCAATTTTAAATGGTTATATTAAAGTTTTGTTTTTGAAAAGGGTTATAATTGATTTTTTTTATTTGCATACACTATATATACCGGTTTTTTGGCCATTCTTAAGTATCAAATATACTGTATTATATTATTTTTAGCAATTAGTAGAAAAACAATTAAAATATCCACCTCATAATAATTTTCTGGCTCCACTGTCACTAAGTCAACTGTAGGATGCCGTGAGAGTTGGATTTACTATTAGAAAGTGATGGGTGGAATGTAACTTATCGTAAGTGGTTTGATTAATTGTGTGGTATCGAAATTTTATCGTGGTATCGAAATTTTATCTTGGTATCGGTATTGTCGATTATTATTTTATATAACAAAGTTATAACTTTAAAAGGAAAAGTTATAACTATTGAAGGGAAGTTATGATCGATCACAAACATTTATGATCGATCATGAAAAATGCGGTATTGGTTCTTATATACTTCAAAAAAATTATAATTTAACCTTAAAAAATTATAATTTTTAGTATCTGTACCGCCGATAATACCGTCAAAGTTTCCAATTGTGAGAATGGATATTAACCTTTTTGCACCATCTCACATTTGAATGGTAAGATTGATTGTTGGAGATTTTGTAAAGATTTTTGAATTGAAAGGTTTATTGCCAATGGACTTTAAAGCATAGCCAAGTTATATGAAAGTTTTGAGGTATAGTTTGGTTAAACATGGGTAATGCGTAAAGACTTATTTTTCGTTTTTTACAGGGATTAATGGTAGCTTTATCGGACCTTGACTTACCTTAGCTATAGGGGTAACGTGTTAGTTAATATTCAATATAACGGTGACACGACGTTATTATCGTTATATAATATCACTATCCCATGAGAAATAGTTAAATGAAAAAATTGAATCTTACTTACACATGGGTAATTGTTACTTCAAGTGAAAGCGATAATTACTAAATTTGTGAAAGATATGTGGCGACGTGGTGTCACGGGATATGTGTGACTTCGTTAGGAAATGATTGTTGAGTTATGTCATGAAGCAACATTATTTGGACATAATATGTTGACTTAATTATAGATAACCATTTAATTAACAGTGTACTCTAATATTTATTGAGACCACTAATAATTTAATGATTACGATGAAATAGGTTCAAATAGCATTATTGTAACTTGTTTGATGGGTCAAGGTGTTGGTTATTTTTTGATCCATCAAACTGATCATCCTTCTTTTATTATTTTCGAGATGTGGAAGATTATTGGTTTTAGAGTACCGGGGTGAAGACTACGACGTAACTTGTAAGTAGTGGCAGGTTACGTAGGTGTTTCTAGAATAGAGACTATGTAATGGTCTAATTATTTATGTAGTTAATATTCAATGTAACGGTGACACCATGTTATTATCGTTATATGATATCACCGTCCCATGAGAAATAGTTAAATGAAAAAATTGAATATTACTTATACATGGATAATTGTTATTTCATGTGAAAGCGAGGATTACTAAATTTATGAAAGATACTAAATTTGTGAAAGATATGTGCCGACGTGGTGTCATGGGATAAGTGTGACTACTTTAGGAAAGGACTGTTGAGTTATGTCATGAGGCAATGTTATTTGGACTAAATATGTTGACCTAATTATGCATAACCATTTAATTAACAGTGTCCTCCAATATTTATTAAAATCCATTATCAATTTAATGATTACGATTTTTAGGTTCAAATAGTTTTATTGTAACTTGTTTGATGGATCAAGGTGTTGGTTACTTTTTGATTCATCAAACTGATCATCCTTCTTTTATTATTTTCCAGATTTGGAAGATTATTGGTTTTAGGATAATGGAGTGAAGACTAGGAGGCAACTTGTAAGTAGTGGTAGGTTATGTAGTTGTTTCTAGACTAGAGACTAGGTAGTGGTCCAATTATATATTTGAGGTGTAACACTACATAACTTAAATAGAATCTAAAAAATTGTAACTTAAATGCATATTATTAATTAAATGAGTGAATCTCATCAACTTTTTTAGTGGAACTCATTCATCCAACGTTCATCTAAAAGATGATATGTATTTGAGTTACGATTTTTGAGTTTCATTTGGATTATAACATTTTTCTTATGTGATACACTTGCACTGTCAATTTCGTTTCGCATAACTAGATCAGTGTTCGAAATTTAGAGTGTTTCGAGTTCTAGCATTAGGGATGATGACAATGAACTGAAGAAAAAAGGATAATCGTTCAAATTTACCTCGTTTGGACTAAGAATAGATCATACGTACTGAACGGTGCACGTATATAAGGATGCGTATGTAAACCTGTGCGGGGATAGATTAAAACTCATCGCCACCCACCTTGATAAACCTATGATATATATATTCTTTTTTTTTTTTGATATATTTGTTATATATTTCGGTTTCATTCTTTTTGTAAAATCATTTGTAAGATTTTAAGATTTTTTTTAAATTATAGAAATTAATTATTATGAACAGACTCGAGATAAAAATTCAAAAATATATACATGATAAGGATTGACTTACCGGAGACAATCATTGGTGGTCTACTGGGATATGCCCATTAACTTGGAATAAATAATTCAAAAATACTTATATATAAAGCAAGGTTATGGCATCAACTCCAGCACAGCTTGTTTTGCAAACTTTACAACATAGAAGCACATTTTTAGGCTACAGTTCTGCCTTGTTTAAAGCTGTTAAGGAAATATATTCTTTTCTCTCCCTTTCTTCCTTTCCTTCTCACCCTCCTCCTCTTGCCGTCGGCCACCACATCTCAACGTATCCAGTGAATGACCATGCCATTACTCGGTATACTATGTTATATACGTTGAGACATCGGAAATATCACTCTAGATTGTCAGAGTGAATTTCATATCCTGTGACTGGAGTAAGGTGCCGTGATGCACAAACCCGGCCACTATGGGCCTGTCTTGGCCGAAACGTTGAAACATGCATGGAAGATGAAAAACCAATCAAATTGCCTGAATCATATGCCATGAATGGTGGAGATGGAACTTGCAGTTATGCCCAAAATTCATCTTGTCAGGTAGTATCATTATTTTTATGCATGGAGGAGATGACTGGCTAAGTACAATCATCTCATCTCCCATAATCCGACATAACACGAGTTCCAAATATGAAATGACTAAAAATGACAAGTCACAACTCTCCATTACGCCCTTACTATAAATTTTTTATTGTGGATGTCTTTATGATTGACAAGCATTGTTTTCAGAGAGGAAAGGTAGATGCTGCAAAGGAACTCATCAACTTTCTTCATCTTCCACCATAAACCCATTTCGCATAGCAGATTTTGGTCGTTCCACAGGACCCAATACGCTTCTAGCAATGCAGATCATACTTGAAGCAGTGGAGCGAAAATTCAAATCAGAAAAACCAACAACCCAATTCGTCCTAGAATTTCAGGTGTTCTTCAGTGACCAAGTTTTGAGTGATGTCAACACCCTTTTTCAATCTCTCCCACCGGAAAGACGATACCATGCTGCAGGAGTAGCCGGCTTTTTCTACGACACGTTATTCCCTACGGCCTCCCTTCACTTTGCTTTCTCATCTTCTTCACTGTGTTGGATCTCCGATTTGCCGAAGGAGATACTGGACAGTAAGTCTCCAGCGTGGAATAAGAAAAGGATTCACTATACAGGAGGTAGAAAAGAAGTTTACGAGGCTTATGCAGCTCAATATGCCAAAGATTTGGAGACATTCTTGAATCCAAGGGCAGAAGAGCTTGTGGGTGGAGGGCTGATTGCTCTTCTGATTCCTATTGTCTCTAATGTTATGAACTCTTCTGAAATTACCATTGGGTCAGGGATTGATCTTCTTGGATCTTGCCTCATGGACATGGCCAAAATGGTTAGAAATGTTGAGAAATTATAATTTTGTTGACTTTTATATTTTTTAATTGTTAACACACATAACTTTTTCAAGATTGTACGCATCTGACCGACAATGGCTGTATCTTGCATTACCCTGACCTAAATTACACCATTTAGAATGACCAACATCATTATTTAATGGACTAAGCTAGATTTATGAAAAAAGGTTAAAAAGCCGATCATTTGATTACGTGACTCTAATATTTTGGTATTTTATTTTACTTGTAACAAATTTAAAATTCAAAATTTACAAATTTTGCTCAATGCTTTTACGTCAATCTTTTGAATTTTTTTTTGTCCCCTTTTTTAAAATTCTTTTATGTATAGTTTTTTTATTTATGGCTTTGGATCTTGTATGGACAACAAAGTAAACCAATTCGGTATTGTTTAAATGTCCGAAAGGAGAATATATTCTCTATTGTACAGCAAAAGTGTTGTCTCTCAAAACAACATCTTTTTTCCATGAAATGACGGTTCCTGTGCTTTGAACCCACTGCAGTTGGTCATTATTCATTTTTTTTTATGTGATGTCTTTTTTCTTATTCAGTAAATTATTGTCTTCCTCTTTTTTGATTCTAATAGAGAGCTCATTCAAAATTATAGGTATGTTTAGTTTGCATCTCAAAAATTATTTTTTTATCTTTAAAAACAGTTTTTGAGAGAAAAGCTTTTTGGCCAATTATTTTTTATTTTTATTTTTTTAAAAATTGAGATTAAAAAGTTGATAGATTTAAAGAAAAAAAGTTATGACTGTCTTGTGTATTTTTTTAAAATAACTTTTTTAGAATTTAGAAAACACCACCACCACACTTCCACAATCATCACATTTCTAATTTTATTATTTTCTGAGTTACTATTCAAACAAATTTTACTATTTTCTATTCCGTAAAATTGTTTTTAGAATCATATAACTAAATAAGGTTTACGATACAAAAAATACTAAATCACACTTTTCTAAAACTTTTTTTCAAAAATAATTTTCAAATACTATTTTTTGAGACGCTAACTAAATTAAAATTTTCATATGTAATGTAATAATAAATCATAATAAAATTCATGTACCTTATTTTCATTGCAATTAGTTATAAATAAAAGTGTTACGAAACGATAAATTAGCTTTACAGAAGTATACTTTACTAAAGAATGCCACTGATGATATTGCAGGGATCGTTTAGTGAAGCAAAAGTAGATTCCTTCAACTTGCCTGTATATCATTTGGAATATCATTTCGGAAGTAAAATCATGGACGAATTGTTCAAACGTTATTCCAAGAAAGTTGCAAAGTCCAGCTTTACCATGAATCCAGACGATGATAAATCAATCTTTATGTTTGTCCTCCTTAAGCGTAAAACTTTAGTTACATAAACACCGAGGCTCGTAGTCAGCCTAGGGGTCGATACTGATAAAATAAAGAATAAATATCACGCACGACCCTTAAATCCAGTCCTCAGTTCTAAAATGTTTCTTAAACTTCCAATTGTTTCATTTTAATCCTTAAACTAAAAAAATTAAACCACGTTTAATTTTTTTTATGCTTGTTTTTATAAAAAAACATGAAAATGTTAGATTGATGATTTGCATAGTTTTAATACTAAATAGAGACAACTAAAAGCTGTGGGAGGGCATTTTCAAACCGAGGCATAGTTGGAGCGTCGTATGTGATAATTAGTAAAGAATTAAATTGAGAAGTTGTTTTTTTTTATTTTCCGTTGTTATTTCTGATTTTATGTAATTTTCACTTAATTTCCATTTACTGTGTGTTGATGGGCTCATTCAAATGTTTTGAATGGGTTGTTACAAGTAGTTTTAATGGGTTGTAATATTTGCTTTTTAAAGATTCTGATAAGATCAAGAATTAAAATGATAAAAGGACTTTTTGTATTATGTGATTGTGTGTTTATATAGAGAATACAAGGAGAAAGTATTAACAGGATAAAATTCAAATATCCTAAGAATAAGGTAACTGATAATCTAATAGTGAGATAAGTTACATCAACGTTGATCTTGGAGATATAGCAAGGATATCCAGCTGTTGGAAGCGCCAGTTACGTGAGGATTATGGGCTCTGAGAATTTTTATTAGTTGGCAAGTCATTTACTCCTATACGCCCCCTGCAAGATGGTGCTTCCATTGGATACACCAATCTTGTTACGAAGAAGGAGAAATCGTTGTCGAGAAAGCGGTTTGGTGAGAGCATCTGCCAGTTGATTAGTGGTTGAGACATGAGACACTCGAAGCTCACCCTTGTTGACGTGATCTCGCACAAAGTGAAAATCAATGGCTATATGTTTCATATGGGAGTGGAAGATAGGATTGGCGCAAAGGTAAGTGATACCCACATTGTCACAATAAATTATTGGTGGTGTAGAGGGAAGTGCACCTAATTCACCCAAGAGATGCTAAACCAAGATACTTCTATAGCGGTGGCAGCAACTGCCCTATACTCTGCCTCAGTAGAAAAGTGAGCAACTAAGCACTACTTCCGAGAGGCCCAAGAGATAGCATTGCCGCCTAAATAGAGGATGTAGGCTGCGGTGGATGTGCGGTCATCATGATTGCTAGCCCAATCTGAATCAGAGTAGGCATATAGTGAAGAGGAAATCTGACGTTTGAGTGATAGGCCATAATGAATTATACCCTTGAGGTACCTTAGGAGCCACTTGACA